TCAGCACGAGACTGACCAACAAGAGAACAGTCGGTTCTTCTGTTAGTGAAAAGAAAGGAAAATCTCCAATGGTTACCAAGAGACTGCGGTCATCAGGCATGCATGTAAAGACTGAGGAAAATGTATTATCAGAGAAACCAGGAGATAAAAATGTAATTGCAAATGATAAAAATGACAATGACAATGACGAAGACTATTTGCCACTAACTGAATTTGTAAGTAAACAAAAGAATTTGAACAGCAAGAATGCTGATGAAGTGAGCAATGATGTGGACGAGTGTAGCATGCAGACAGACAAGATGGATGACGTTGTTGAAAGCAGCCAAAGCCCAGAGAAAAATTCAATCCCAGCCAGTGAATCATTGCCAAACAAAACGAAAACTGATGTGAAGTTCTCATCACCACAGCACAGCACATCACCTGTTAACAGGCGGTTTGTCTTCCCTAAACTATCTAATTACTCATCACCTTCTGCAAGAGAAAAACTGCTGAGAAAACCAAGCTCGCCACAAAGTGCGATGGCCATATTGGCCAAACTGGCCAATCAGCAGTCGCCAGCTCATACACTGATTAATAGTGAGGAGTCTTCACCGAAAACTTCACCTGGTGGTGGGATATTGAAGAGAGGCCATTCCGACTCTCCGTCTCCTCCTAACAAGGTGAGCTTAACGTTTGTATTACATAGAATCCTTTAATAAATGCTGTTATGCAAGATAAGCTCATTCCTAAATTTACAGAGTCGGAACTTCTAAATTGAGGGCGTGCAATTTCATGTGCAAATTTGATCTAATTGTCTTAACGTATAGAATATTATAAAAAAAAGTTCCCAAGATTGGTGCCTTGAAGTGAAGTTCCAGCTCCGTCAATGTCTAGTGTTGATTGGTTGCATGTTGATATTTTTTTGGGGATTAGGTACTTTGCTATCTTGATTGTTAAATACATTTCTGCTCTGATACTGTACACTGCACATACTTGAGAGGAAAATGGATAAGGCAGTCCTGGTAATGGTGAAGGGGGAAAGTGAGTTGCTTTCAAATATCTCTATCTTTTCGTATTAATAAGATGCGTCGTGTTAGCTTTGCTGAACCACTGGAACACAATGAAACCCCACAAGACAGCCCATCATCGTCAGGTAACAAAACGGTCAGTCGGTGCCTGGAAATGACGAAGACTTCATTGCCGCCGTCTCCCTTGGTTACAACAACACCATCCAAAGTAATGACATCTCAGTCTAAGGTGAGGGTTACCATGGTGATGTCAGTCGTACAGCTGCCCTTGGCTTCCATTGGGTGTGAACTTTGGGTGCAATTTAACCAATATATTAGCAAGGACAGGTGCTTTATTTCTCCGCCAATCATATTATGTGCAACTAAAAATATTACACATTCAGATTCGCTGGCCCTCCACTAAATATATCATGCCTTAAAAAACTAGAATAATTTAAATAACCAATGAACAATTGCAATTGAAAACATTATTTGAGCTCAGTCGCATCCCACCAGATTTTGGTGAAACTTATTGTTTATGGTAATAAATGTGTTTATTTACTTCCAGTATATCACAACGCCATCCAGGCAACCAGTGTCAGATTCAATATTGTCAGCTTCCAGTCACAAATCTAGTCCAAGCTTGAGAGAAGGACTTGTTACACCAACCTCTAACACTAGAAGAGTAAGTTTTATTTTTTGGGGTGATGATGATTTTCTATAAATTTGCCCTGGGTATGAATTGGGAAATTTAGTATTAATTGTACCATGTTGATTTTATTTTTCAGCGTCGATTTGTTAGAGTAGACAATAGTCAAGCAAGTAGCCAGGAAGCTGAAGAATGGAACAGTCAAGAGCAAGTGTTTCCATTCCTGAATGAATGCAAATCACCCGTGGAAGCAGTGTTGCCTCAACTAACTTCCTCAATATGGTAGGTGAGGGGAAATGTGGGGATATATAGTGTTTACCAGCATCTGGATTAGTATTATTGCAGGCAGATTTAACCACTGCTTCATTTGAAGACATTAGGCTCGTGATCTGATCCACATATTTAATTACCATATACGGTTATGTTAATTGCCTCATTAAAAATGCATAAATATAATATCTGGTATGCTATTGCAGATACAGTTGTTCAACCAATGCTTGGTATAAAGATGCTGGGGGGGGGGGGGATCTGCCAGCTCTGTTACCTTTGATATCTTTATAGTACCACATGCAATTCTGTTTCAATTTCTAAATGAATGTGGTGTGATCTCAACTGACCATCAAATTTGTTATTCCTATCACAATGCAAGTGGTGTTAGTATTTATACCTTGTGTTTATAATCAGTTTAAATAATTGCTCTTTTGTTATTTCAATCAGGTCACGAGGATTAGGGCAACTTGTTCGAGCTCGGAATATTCATACTGTTGGTAATCTTTGTTCTTTAACATGTGGACAGGTGAGCACTGATTCTGTAGCCTTTTAAAGGCACATTTCCCGCTGATGTTTTATTACAATATTTTCATGCGTTTTTCTATTTAATTGTCTAAAATTTTGACCACTTGTTACGGTGACAGCGGAGCTGTTCATATAGGTGATTGTCCATCCGTCCGTCAACAATTGAATTTTGATTTCTTCTTGAAAAGTACCAGCTAAATTGTTTTGATACTAGGTACCTTGGGTGGACTTATGTCAGATTTGTTCATTTCGTGCCAATATTTTTTTTTTTTTTGGCAAATAATTTTGTAGTTTTTGGTAGTTTCTGAATTTTTCTTGTACTGCTAATTATTTTTATGAACAATTTATGTGTGTGCGTTGCTCGACTTGGCTACCATAATGTTCTTGTAGGAAAGCAGAGCTATTGTACATAGTATTAGAATGTGAAATACATTGAAATTTCTTATCAGTCAAATTCAGAGTATAACTTGGTGATTACAAAAATTATTAGATTTCATATATAGTTCATTATTTGTTATCAGAAAGCAACATTTTCGTTGAAACACGATCACTTGGAAATACAACAGTTAGTGTCGAAAAAAAGAATTTCAGAATTATTTTGTGAATAAAGTGCAGAAAAACCAATGTCAATGAAACTTACATGCATTATAATCCTTAAATCACGAACATTTGCTAAATAATCAGGTGGTGAAATTTCTAGAGTAGGTGGAATTTTATTTTGTCGTACAGTATTTAAAATTGCAGAACAAAAACATGTAAAAACTCATGTTTGGTATAGTATAGTGGACTTTGAAGGGTTTACCACTTTTGCCAGCTATCTGTAATGTCTGCCTAACATAAGCCTGCCTTGCCTTTTTTCCCAGGTGCAAAACTTGCCAATCAGATCACCAAAAGTTGAAACACTCAGAAATGCAATGCAACATTTTCAGAAACAGGTAAGACCAGATGATAATCTCGGATCGTTCACCCAGTCAGTTGGTCATCTTGGAAGCCTTGTGAATGATTTTTTTCATGAACAATTCATAATGCAACTGCTTAAGGGTCTAATAATTATTTTCTCTCATTTCTCTGCAGCTTGACAGAACTAACAAAAGCTCCAAATCTCAAATACAGCAGACTGGATCCGTGCAGAATTTGCTAAAAGGTCGGTGAATACTGTTATCAAGTTGTATGTTGAACCAACATCCATCTGCTTGTAGCTTCCTCTGTTGCAATGCCAAGTTCTACAACGTCATCTCTTAATATGCTATTAAAGTGATTTGGAACATTTTTGTAATAATATAACCACATTAAGATTACCAAACCTTATTTAAATGTTTTCGACACAATTGCATGGGCTGTGTACCAGTAGTTGTCATTTTGTTGAAATCTTTCGACCGTTTGGGACCATAACAAACTATTAGCCTCTCAAGATGGCGACATATTTGACATTTCACCCATTCTTCTGCTCATGTTGTCCACAAATTCCTGAGAAATGGCGCCCTCTGATGACCCAGATGCAACCCACTGGCCATCTTTTTTCACTTGCTAATAATTTAATGTACAACATCGGTATATCGACATTCTATGCTTTCAGTGTCCACATTTCAGCAATGTTCATTACAAATTAGCAAATTCGGGAATATTTTATTAAAAAATAATAATCAGAGAGAAAAGTTGCAGCTTTTACATTCCCAGTTCTACCAGCATCAATTTATTGCAAAACTCTGTTCACAACTAAATATCGATCTTGTTTCAATTGCTTTAGACGAAGATGGCAACAAAGCAGTTCTTGAAGACTCTGACCAGCTACTTAAAGACGTCAATAATCTATCAGAATCGGCATGCAATGAAAGTAGTGAAAAAGTATCTAGCGAAACAAGACAGACATGCGATGCTCTGGAAGAGACACCAAAACAAGATATCAGTGAAACTTGCGAAATAAATAATGTTGCATCGCCACCCCCTGCAAAAAAGAGATTAGTCGAGATACTTTCAGATCTCCGGGATGATTTCACGGAAAAGAATTTGAGTGAGCTCTCGAGCGAGGAAATATTCCAAGCACACAATCACGTTAGCTCGTTGATGAGCACTATAGTTGAGGCTTTGAAATCAAGATGTGGCAAACCAACCAGTTAGGATGTTGTTTAAGAATTGTTTAAATTGAAACTGATTTTTTTCCTGGTGCTTGTGATAACTAGTAGAAACTTTGGGGATCTTTCTTTTTTTTCAAAATACTGATCCACACGTGTACAAGACACTGAAATAATACTGGTCCTTTGTTCGCACCCCTGTATTTAAATTGTAAAATTATTAATACTGGAGTTCATAGCCACATAAACAATGCAGGTACATTAGGGTTAACCCACACCTCAGACGCTTTGCTTCTTCTGCTGATCTGCACTGGCTCGGAAGATGAATTCTGATTGGCTAAAAAAACAAGACTTGTGGCGTTGAATGCACGTTCATTCTCAGTAATGTTATGCAAATTAGAAATTCAAACTAGCTAATCATTTACAACCTTCCGAGCCAGTGCAGATTAGCCCTGCTTCTCTTTTTACACCATTTTGCATCTAAATATTTGTTCATTTTTATTTATCGACTTTTGACACGTTTTCAAAGTGCATTTTAGAATCATGTTGCAAGAGAATTGTGATTTTCTTTTTTAATTTGTCTGTTACTCTTGTGTAATTGGCCTTTGCTAATTACTACTTAATTTAAGATGGTCATTTTTATTGTTACTATGGTGGAGTGCCAATATTAGTAATATATCTTTTAATCTTTTTCAATCTTCTATTGATGTTTTATTTTTGTGATCATAGAAATAAACACTATCATTATTAAATTGTGTGTGATTTCAAGTCAGTTATGTATCCTAAACATTGTTTTAGTGAATTAATTTTCATTATCCTTGCTAGTTTTGTGAGTCAGATTTTGATAATTTAATTTGTGAGTACAGGGTTAAATTTACGACAGTACAGTGCCCTTTAAGACAAACTGCATGCTATTACTTGGACTATAGAGGGCCTTGGTCACGGGTATCAATTGGGAATATTAGGCTACAGAACTGACCAGTTTGTTGGACCCACGGAGAAGGTGCACAATGTGATGTGTAAATTGCTGTTCATGAATATCAATACAACTCTTACTTCGCTAGGGGGACGAGAGTTGCCTGGATCATTAAAGATAAAAGGGAAAGGTATATTGAGGGGGGTGTTGTCATTAATAATTGTTAATGTGTACACAATAACTTTACTAATTCTATACCAAACATGGGCACCTAATTCATCAGTACAAAATCTTTCCTTAGTGCCAACAGCAGATGGCCTGTGCAAAAATTAAAGTAGTTTTTAGTCCCTGTTCAGACGCAGTCCGAAAATGGGGACTTGTGTTTTGACCTGTCCGTGAGTGCGTGTCAGTCCGGACCTGTATCTTAGAAATGTCTGGACCAATCACAATCAAACTTCACACATACATCATACATGATATTATACATATGCACGTCAATCTGATTCAAGATGGTCGAATGGCGGCCATTTTTGTGCTAAAAAATCGAGCATTTCTCTGTTGTTTACAGATGGATTTTGTTCAAACCTTGTATATACATTAGACATTATGGAACCTTAATGCAAATAATTTTGTTTTTCAGATAACATTCAAAATGGCCGACTGGTGGCCATTTTGTTTTAATGAATGTGGTTCTCGTGCCATATCTCTGACTTGCTTTCACTAATTATGTTCAAATTTTAAATATTCATTATACATCAAATCATAGATATACAGATATAATGACATTTATGGATGGATTTTGTTCAAACTTGGTACATACATTAGACATTACAGATTCCTGATGCACGTCATTTTATTTTTCAGATTGGATTCAAAATGGCTGACTGGTGGCCATTTTGTTTTAATGATTGGGCTTCTCGAGCCATATCTCTGACTTGCTTTCACTAATTATGTTCAAATTTTAAATATTCATTATACATCAAATCATAGATATACAGATATAATGACATTTATGGATGGATTTTGTTCAAACTTGGTACATACATTAGACATTACAGATTCCTGATGCACGTCATTTTATTTTTCAGATTGGATTCAAAATGGCTGACTGGTGGCCATTTTGTTTTAATGATTGGGCTTCTCGAGCCATATCTCTTAAATGCTTTGACTGATTATATTCAAATTTTATATATTCGTTATACATCATGTTATATATATATATATATACATGTATTCAAAATGGCTGATTTTGAATGCTGTTCCAGAGCAATATCTCTCAATATGGACAAGTACTTGTTCGACGATCAGATACAAATGTCAATCATTTTAATGTTAAAAAAAATCATATTCCTGACATGGTTATATTCCAGCTATATTACTATAAACAAAATTATCCATCTTAAATTGTACAACTTTGATGACGAGTGTGACAGTATTTGATAGTGTAGACACAGTTCAGACAGAACAAGTATATTTTCTATTTTATCAGTTCAAATTAGGCACCAATGTTTTTGTAAGATAATTAAAGTTTTTGTGGACTGCTTTCCCAATCCTACAACACGTTTGTAGTCAAAATAAATTGACAATGCATATTTATTTAAAAGAAAATTGATAAACGAAACAATACGCAACAAAGGGCAAGGTCACAGGTTAACTATGATTTTATTATTGAAATTACCTGTAAGCCAGATCTCCAAAAAATAAATTCTACATTTTTGCCTTTTTAAAATTTTGGAATAACGTATATTCTTCGTCAGTTGAAGTGCAAAAAACAAGCATACGCATTTCATCCACCCATCACTTTAAATTTTTTAGATTTTTTACACAATTGGCTTAAATCTGGTACAAAAATTTTACACAATGGGTTTAATGTTTTATTTAAATAAAACTAAGCAAACTGGCAGCTATTTTCATCAAATTGCAAAATTTGAACGCGTCTTCAACCGTTTCTTACCATGCTTTGAATCAAAATGGCCGACTAGTGACCATTTTACTAATCCTGGCAGCAGCACAATTCTTTCTTCGCCAGTGTATGTATGCAGAGTTTTAATAATGACAGCAAAAAAATATTCCTTGAAATAAATATTTATTTTCACATGTAGACAATCTGGACAATATATACAAACAATAGTGAGTTGATAAAACAATGTATACAAACATGGACATAAATAATTTACATTTAAAATCAAATTAATATGACAACACCATTGTAAACAGACTTTAACATTTCAATGGATTTCGTTTTCGCCTGTAGTGATATTTCGTCTCAAGTTGAAAATTTTATTAAAAGTGACATTGTGGAGTGAATTTGACTTTGTAACGGCTAGCATGCATAGTTCAATTCAAAAATGGGACTATTTTGTGGAAGGAGTTGACAACAGAATCTCTAGGGTGGGGCAAATAGACCATTTTCCGTTTACTGTGAGAATCACGCGTTATGCGTTAAATCGAACATAAAAACAGGACAAACAAAGGTCATAGCGTTGTAGTCGCGTCAAACATCGCTTAATAATGTGCTGTCCACATTTGATGATAGGCAATTTCGATTAAGTAAGGGTATTCGGAAGCAATATTCCTCTGTCGAAGATCGGCCGGTCAATGTAAGCTACGAAATAAAGAAATTCTAGTTCAAAATCAAATCGTTCGATTTTTGCGGCAGACGTTCGACGCGCGTCTTTCATGCATCTCGCGAGATCTCGCAATTGTACGGAAAATCACCTATTGATTGATGGTGAATTTCGGGCAAAAACGTTTGAAGGGAAACACCAAATTAACAGCAACATCATGGGGAAAGAAAAAATACAATTCAACCCCAATGTTTCTAATGGTCAAACCCTTAACACATTAGTATTTGTACAAATTCCCAAAGTTTGTTACTGCACTTTACACCAGTGTGGTTATTATCCTATAGGGTAAGACATGTTTGTATTGTTCAATGTTGTCTGGTTACAGTACCACATATCATTGCCATGGTTACATGGTGTATAGAAAACTATAGATGTTATAACTCCTATGACTGATACAAGGATACCGGTAAAAACCAAGCCACCAGAAAGAAATTTATCCATTCCTAAATGTTCGGATTTTTGTAACTTCAAGTAACACAAACCTGGCAAAATGAATACAAGTTGTACTGCTGCAAAGCATCCCTGAAATTGTAAGCAGTATCAATGGTAGATGAGATGAGAGCTATGTAACTATGGTGATGTGCACAGAAGATTTAACTGACCATGCAAAATGATTTCCAAACTAACACAAGCGAGTCTAACATCTTCATGAGTAAATCAGGTAATACTGTAAAATACTTTATTTTCGCAGAAGGAATGATTCAGTGAAAATAAAGTCCACCAAATATACCTTTTTTCCTATATTTTACATTCAACTCGTCAAAAATCAGTGAAAATAAATTCCAAACACCCAAAAATTTATTCCAGCTAAAATAAAGTGTTTTACAGTACTTGATGCTGTTTGTGAATTACCCCAAATTAAATTATTTGGATTGGATGTCTGAAAAGTCTCGCTGATTTTCATTTTCATACATTTGATGATTACCCAAGTCCATTCATGGCTTCTTGGTGGCCATTTGTCAGAATTAGAACTTGCATAGAAATATGAATTGCATACTCTTACAAGAAATGATTTCAATGAAATCTTGAATGCTTATCACCATGTATACGTTCAAAGGTCAATGATGATTTCTTTTTTTTAAAACTACTGTACACAAAATGGTTGTATATTGCTCAACAGCTATATTATAAGTTCAATATTTCAGTTAAGAATTGTTTTGCAAAAAACCTAAGAAGAGCAAGAGTACATTATCAAATTTGCAAATCATTGTGAATTAAACAGCGCCCTCAGTGACAAATATAATGAGCACGTGAAGAGATGCCCCAGATCTTAGACCACATTCCCGGAAGTGGAAGATGCAGCGTTTTGCATGAGTGTGCATACTGTTTTGAAGTGTTACATAAATATGCATGCGTGATATTGTGCTTTTGGGTTTACCAATCGGGGATGCAAAAATAAAATTCCTTCTATTGAATATCAGCAAACATGTTTGTATTTTTATCGATGACAAAGCAGGCGTATTTCTGCATCTAAGTCTTGTTACTTCTGGGAAAGTGGTCTATTTTTCATTGTGTATGGACGATAGCATTAAAACCAGGATAAATAGTCTGGTATAGAAGTAAATTGACTATAAAGCAATATAGCACCCCCACCAGTGTGTAGAGGTTAATTTACTGAGCAATAGCGCCCTCACTAGTGCGTAGAAATTTATTTACAGAGCAATAACGCTTTCACCAGTTTGCAGAGGTTAATTTACTGAGCAATAGCGCCACCACCAGTGTGTAGAGGTTAATTTATTGCACAGTAACGTCCTCACTAGTGTGTAATAATTTATGGAGCAATAGTAATACCCAATGCAAGTTGTAAGAATACCAGTGGGCAGAAAAGACATATTACACCACATTTAAAAGCTATGGAAGAGCAGTTGAGAAATAGGTATCAGTGTAATTTCCATCAACATAGATGTTATGCATGGTGTTATTTTGGTGGCAATACCACATATCGCTACCATGACTACAATTCTTGGAGAAAATCACAGACATTACGCTTCCCATCACCATGGTAAAGACACCGATAATACAGATGAGTATTGCAGGTAATTTATGCAAAGAGTACAGTTTGCCTTCTTCTAGTTTTAAGTAAGCAGCAGCAGGCAGTATGAATACAAGAGGAACCGCACCCAGTACACCCTGTGGTATGTTGCAATGATAGAATGAAAATATAGAGAAATTATTAGCTATGTGTTTTTGTAATTGTGTATATTAGGCAGGAAAAAGTAGATTTGCTTCTGAACCAGCCATTTTTTTTTTATATTTCTGTCAATATTGTTTTGAAATGAAAAAAAAAAAATGACAGTTTTTTTGAACATTTCAGGATCAAAAACAATCTTTTTTTTTGTCTAATAGACAAAGAAAATATGAGAAGTACACAAACATGTATATTATTTATGCAAATAAACTACTGTAAAACATGTTGAAAAAGCGATATGCAATTTTAGCGAATTTGGGTAAAATGACGTAATAACGAAATGTTGATTCAGCGAATCTCTCTAGTCTTTGTTGATTTCCTGTTTTCACAATACTTGTCTGTCGCATGCCAAAATAAATGTGCAATTATCATCTCCATAAAAACAAAGAAAAACTGTCAAGTGTAATTAGGAAGCGCCTTAGATTTTTATGTTCTGGATTACTGTATACAAATCCCCAAGCCTTGGCCATTTTGAATTTATAATAAAGTCATCTTGAATTAGCAAATCTCTCTCTAAATTCGCTGTTTTACAGTAGTTGATTGGTCAAAAAATCTAAATTTAAATTGAAGCAGAATATTTTTTTATTTTTTATAAAGCTGTGGCATACATAATAATTGGTGTCAAGCATGCAGACATCTAGAGCTGTGACAATAAATGACTGAGACAAAGTAACAAACAACAATAGTTACAACAAGGACAGACAGACTTCTGACATTTCCATAGAAACAAGACATTATACTTACATTCAATTCTAGGACTATTCCTAGACAATCTGTTGACATAGAGATGCCTAGAGTCAAGGCCACTAATATAAGTGTTTCTACTAGATGTCTTGTTAATGTCTGTGGTTTTTCTGCATAACCAAGGTTACATATAATATTGTCTAATACCTGTGGGGAAATAAGAGAAAATATTAAAGCTCGGGTTGCCAGCTTCAATATTGGTAAATTCATATTTTTTTTTTTTATTAGACGCATAAAATCCTTAGGAAAGGATAAAAAGGGTTTTTACCAGAAAGAAATTAAAAAAAAAAAAAAAAAAAAAACTACAATCTAAAAAATAAAACAAAAAATAAAAACTTTTTTAAATAAAAAAAAAAAAAAAAAAAAAACAAGTCAAAAACAAAAAATATATGATGACATCACCTAGCTGTTATTTGCATGCCATAAATATACGTCACATGTCAACTGGAAGAGTTTGTCATCCCTGATTCAATTTACATCCGTTTTTACCATATTCTATCATTTACTGGTATAGCGTAACTTTTTCTATTACCAGATTATTGTTTGCCAATTTTTACTTTAATTATAAATAATTTTACTTTTCTCACAATAAGACCTGTTCAATGACATGGTTTTAATAGGTTAGTATCAAAGAATTCATGTCACTCAAGTCTTACTTTACGTAAATAACAACTAGTGTCACAGGTAAACTAATTAAATCATATTTTTCATGATCCATGTAGTATATGAAAAATTCAAATTTGGGTCTAAGTGCAATTCCATTGTGAAATTAGCCTGGAATCCAGCCATCCTGAGTACACTCAAGAATGGTCTGGTGAATTGTGATGTAACTATGTAGGCAGCACAGAATTCTGTGACGTCACTGATTGGCTGTTTCCGTGACTTCAGTATATTATTAGGAATGTCCATGTGTGGTCTGTGACCTGTACGTATAAGGCTGAGAAAAAAAAATCTTTGTTTCTCGTTTTTTACACGCATCATTTTGAACTATGCGCCTCGGACGTTGTTTTTTTCTTCTAAAACATTCCAAAATGAGCTTGTACTCATACTGGTCTGAAATTTCCCCCATTTTAGCTCAGTATTCAAAAAAAAAAAATCGTCTCATTTTAAAATTTCCAAGAAATGAGAAACACAGAATTTTTTTTTCCTGGTCTAAGGCCTGCCCACCAAACTTCAGACCAACTCGCTAGTCTGTTATTTGTATTATTTGTCTTACAAACTTTTAATAAAGTGAATACAGTAGACTACGAAACTAAGTTGAACTAGTACATACCTCTCTTGTAACAAAACATTCTATAGGGAACGTGAACATAAGAGTTACTCCATATATAAATCTAGCGGCGTTAACCAAATCATCACCACTACAGTAGTTTTCTAAAATGTCTCCTGCAATAAACATTGTTTGTAGTTACTTAGTAACAATTTGAGGGTCAAAGTAAACTTAGGTCACTATTCATAAAAATGAAAAAAATGGATGAATTTTTTCATAATTTTTCCATAATTTTGGTAAAGATCATTTGCCAATGGGAAATTAAACAAATGTAAAATTAACAAGGAAATTCTAGAACAAGCCGTCTCTCGATTGAAATAGCTCTGCTGTTAGCAATGCACATTTCAATTAATAAAATTGAAGATATCACAAATCTGTGAGAGGTCCACCTATAGTACCCTATATATATGATATCAAAGAAATGGGACTTGCATTTTTTTAACAAGTAGTCAAAAATATCACTTTTTACCAAAAATGACAAAATATTCATCAAAATTAGACAATTGAATATATATCATCACGAAATGAACAAATCTGAGGAAGGTCCATCTGAGGTACCTATATGTATAATATCAAAGCATTAAAACTTGTGTTTTTTAACTAGTAGTCAAAAATATCACTTTTTAACAACAAATTTGAGAATTTAATATATATCATCACAAAATGAGCAAATCTGAGCGAGGTCCACCTGAGGTATCTATATGTATAATATCAAAGTAATCGAATTTGTGTTTTTTAACAAGAAGTCAAAAATTTCACTTTTTACCAAAAATGACAAAAATATTCATCAAAATCTAAGACAGGTCAAACCAAAGAATCAAAGCAATCAGGCTTGTAGTTTTCAAGGAAATAGTAAAATGACGACGAACAATCACTCATATGATAAGCTCTGCTCAACAAAGTCAACAGCAGAGCTAAAAATACAAAAAAATATGCAAAATTTTGCATAAACATGTTGGCGGGAAAATTTATGGCATTCAGAGAGTTACAAATTTGTGATCATGACAGTTAACCTTTCACACAACCATGGTTCACCTCACAAAATTTTACAGTAGAATAGAAATGAACAAATAACTTCATCTGATGTTGGTAATATTGTGCCAAGGACTGAATATTTGTTTGACCACATTCTATAAAGTTCTTTATTTTCACTTGGAATTAATTTTTTTTGCTGAAAGGATGAATCATTGAAAATAAAATCACATGGAAACTCATCAAAATTCAGTGAAAATAAAATCACATGGAAACTCATCAAAATTCAGTGAAAATAAATGTCAAACAAAACAGTCAAAATGTCTTTTCAGCGAAAATTAATTTCAGCTAAAATAAAGTATTTAACACTAGACGACCGTTGATCACCACGGCCTGTCTTTCTATTACACTGTACATACCTTGCGTATATCCGGTGAAAGTTGCATAACCACAGGCACCAAACAATGCAGTTACAAGGAGTGAAATGAAAACTGAATAGTGAGCCACTATTGACCATCGTTTTACTGTCGGTTCTTCCAAGGAATCGTAGATAAGGAAGGAATTATGATGGCAAACGAACGCTGAAAAATAAACAAGAAGTGTAAAAGTTAATCAAAGAAGCCCTTGTCATTTCATGTTTACACTATGTAATCAATGCCAGTCATTATTTGCATTTGAATTTTTTGTAAGCAAACAATGTAGATATATATATGCGTTATGTACATACATATGTATGTCACATGGGACCCATAACCATGTGATGACTCGTCGCGTATTATTAAATCTGACTTACCAAATGCCATGACTCCTATTGCTTGTGTGAAATGTATATTTGCAAATTCCCATGCATGCGATGTAGGTGGTCTGAAACATAAATCCTTATGAGTAAGGGCTGGACCATTAAAAAATCGGGGTGGGGGTGGGGGTGGTAGAATAAATATGCAAACTATTTTTTTCCTTCATTTAGTTTTGTGCTAATTTTTTTGCATGATGAATTCACTGTAACTTTTTTATTTCCTTTAAGTTTATTTTTAAAGAAATAGACGTGCAGGATTTCTTTTCTATGATTATTTCTTGTACAATTTTTTTTTTCAATTTTAATGGTTCACCCCGAACCTGAAATTTCCTCTGTAAAGAATCTGTTAAATAGCACCTGCCATACTAAAGGGCGGCAGTCGCCGTGTCGCGTCCTGTTCGATATGGGACTCATAGCGACGTATACAAAGCATTTAAAATATTTTGTTTATTTGCATGAATTCGAACACGCGCTGCGTGACGACTACCGAACTTTAAATAACCTTGTCTTTACCTGTCTCATACATTAAAGCATTGTGCATGCGGTGAACAATGCCTTTCCAAACTAGCATAAAGGTATGCTGATTGGATCAAAAATAATATCTCATGCACCTGAAACCTGCAAGTGGTCTATTTTTTATATGGTAATCATATATCCAAACTGTTAAAAAATTAAAATAAAATCAGCGACTTACATTTGCGGTCCAAGGGTGGCTAGTCTTATAATGATTACAGTAACGATAAATGCAACCATGACGATTGAAATGACAGAAATCTGGAAAAATGATAATTAGGATATATATAATTTTAATTTTAACTCTGAGAAAAAATATGCATAAAAATAGAGAAATGCATTTACTGTTATAAATCTGGCAGGAAAAACAATAACATTTAGCTGACAATGACGAAATAATATAGACCAGTGTGTCCTCTATCATTTTTGATTTTGTAAGAATCAGGGGTCAAAATGTAATACCTCAAAATCAAGTCTACTTGTCTTCAAGAAAAACAAATAGCATGTGACTGTATAGGTGATTTTTGTTTTGTTTTCTACATTTAATGTTTTTAAAATGTGAATTTACAAAATTACAAATTCCATAACTATAGTTAGTTGTTTTTTCAAGATTGCTATATCAATGTACAATATGTTCTGTGCATTGGTGATGTGCCAATGAATTAATACAAATAGTTGCATCACAGCAAATATTTGTGTGTTAATGGCACGTCATATCGGATTTGAAATGTCTTCCAGACAATTCCGCAAAGTACCGGGGGGTATGTAGTGTTTTCTTGTAATAACAATGTATTGATTCCTTAATAATCCAGTGGGGAAAATTTTGCTCACAGAATTTTATTCACCACTATTTATATACATGTACCTGTATTAAAGTCTGTCACAGCACTTCTCTTTTGCAATAAAATGTATCACATTTTACCACACAGAGATTTTGATCATTTTGTTTCTATTATTGATAGGATGGAGCTCAAATGAATAGAGAATAAAAAATTCTTTAAACAAATAAATTTTCTCCTACCAAATGAAGATATGCAATCTTATTGGTCACCTAAATTATGCAATCTGATTGGTCAACTACATAATGCAATCTGATTAGTCAACTACATATTGTAATCTGATTGGCAATTACAAAATGCAATCTGATTGGTCAACTACCTAATGCAATCTGATGGGTCAACTACATAATGCAATCTTATTGTTCAACTACATACATTGTATTGTAATCTGATTGGTAAACTACATAATGCAAGTCGATTGGTCAACTACATATTGTAATCAGATTGGTCAACTACATAA